ATATATATACCTTTTAGAACAAACAAAAAATTGTAAGAAATAGCAATGCACCCTCCATGTAGGTTTTTTTTTCTTTTAAAAAACTTTTACTGAAAGAATTTCTTATAACCGATGTCTTTGGTATAGCATAATGCGCCTCGACTTCGTATGCAGATTACCTGGCTTGGATCTCCCCGTGTGAGGATAATATTATATCGAGTATATCAAACTTTCTGTTGAAGATTTCTTCAAATGAAGAGGAATCAAATAAGAAGCTCATGTGTGTCGCTCGTTGATTAAACCAATTAATTAGGAAGTGGCTACTGCTGTTTCTGGGACATTTGGATAGGCATACAGGGTTTTGAATAATTAATATTCAACTTCTACAGGTAAAATTGAAGGTAAACGAAACAGGGGTAGACCCAGAGCAATGTTTCTGAGTGTTCTCAGAGGGTTTGCTGGGGTAATAATAATTGTAAAGCGCATAGAGCATGCTCTTGAGCATGGATATGCGCTATATAAATACAATTATTATTATTATTAAGCCTAAACAGCCGGGTGATGGGGGAAGATCAGGAAAAAAGATCCTTTTTTGATTGAGAGCATCCGAGCAAATTTAAGGAATGTATGGCCAACCATGCTTGTCGATTTCTGCCGAAGATCGAACATTTATTGATGATGACGATATCAGTTTTTTACTGCTAGAACGCTATCCCTCTTAGCCAGGGTTGGCCTTGACAGACATTGTCGAAGACTGCCTTGGAAGTGATCTAAATTGAGTCGATGGGAAGTAAAAGACGTACATTTAAAAAGAGAGTTGTTGAATCATTAGTGATGCCGTTGTTTGGTTAGACAGTTACATGTATTTTGAGTAAACTATTGGAAGTAGTTCACGTTCCAATGGCAAAAATTCAATACTTTTGAGTATGTGACTGCGACTGTTTTCCGTTAATGTTTTTGCATATTTCTATGAAATACTAGTACTAGTGTACGGTACTATGAATGATAGTGGTTGGTAGGAGCTACTGGTATACTTTTCCTCTGTCGTTTCTAAATTATATAATCAATATCTTGTTTCATCTCTTCTCTGTTTGATTATTTTTGTATCGATGTTCTGCATTTTACTCTGATTCAACCGCCCCCCCCCAAAAAAAAAACACCAAAAAAACAAAACAACAACCACAAGAAAACAACAAACAAACAACAAAAACAACAACAAACAAACAAACAAAAAAACCAGACTCAAATGCTTTATGGATGTAAACTTTTTATGTCGAAACTTTCTTTAAAACCCTCTGGATAACCCAAGCCAGCGGTGTCGCTGTCAACCACTTTGTCGTCGGTCATAGAAGGCGTGAGTTCGATTAGGATGTGTGGAGGGTTTATTTATACGGTTTGTGTTTTTTTCTCTGTTTTGTATTTCTTTTTTAAATTGTTAATCAGTATCTCGGTTTCACTTCTGGGACGTTGTATCATTTTCAGCTCTGGGTTCGCTCTTGCAAACAGAAGACGTGAGTTCGATTCGCGGTTGGGAGACGTTGATCCCTTTTGGACCGCGTGGGCTCTTTATAAAGCAGTCAGCCTCCTAAATATCTATTAAAAGCAACAGAGCTGCTAAACATTCAGAACAAATTTACATCTCACACACACGTGCACACATACACACACACACACTCTCTCTCTCTCTCTCTCTCTCTCTCTC